AAACCGACTTTCCATTGGTCAACTTTTCTTTCATGTCGAGCAATATTCTAACAGCTCCAGCCTTTACTGTTTACAATTCACGACTTTTGCTATTTTAACCATGATTTCAAAGAGCGTTATACAACTCTTGCCCATTTGTTTGATGACGGTTACAACTGTAAAACTTTCAAGACGATTTATGGTAGACAAGTACAGTACATTTCCAAATTTGATGCTTCAGTTACAAAATTGATGTCCAATGGAATTCCTTATTGAACCATACGTTCCCAATTTTCTTCAGGTGAACTATTGACTATCCTTTGCATATGTTTATGACGGATGCACCTGGTGGGGCGTTATACGCTCACCGTCTCGTGTACACTATTTGGAAACAATAATTATGTCGCAACAATTACCCCGAAGCCCTACATGTCTTACAAGTCGTACATAGCATTATCATTACATGTAAACATTACTACATTAGTTGTTTCATGAGTGAGTGAGTTTAGTTTTACGCCGCACTCAGCAATATTCCAGGTATTTCGCAGCGGTCTGTAAATAATCGAGTCTGGACCAGACAATCCAGTGTTCAACAGAATGAGCATCAATCTGCGCAATTTGGAACCGATGACATGTGTCAACCAAGCCAGCGAGCCAGTGAAGCATTTCAAGTCGGGGGTCATCTCAAAAAACATATATTTCTTAATCTTTAATCTTCGCAAAGACACGAGGGCCTGTGGTGTCAACCAAGTAAACGAGCCTAACCACCCGATCCCGTTAGTCGCCTCTTACGACAAGCATGTGTTACTGAAGGGTCATTCTAACCCGGACCTTCACAGGTCCGCTTGTTTCATGAAAAAAATGTGGTATAAGTAACGTCTAATAAAACCAGTGTATCTGCTCAAAAACATAAAGATTGTCAAGGCTGTTGGCAGATTTGATGTCACTTATTAAATTAACGCCAGCACCTCCAGCACGGCCCCTTGTGGACCCGGGACAGAATAGGTCCTCAGCAACCAATTACTGGACGACTAAATTGGGGACCCTTGAAGATCCGGGTCACAATTGATCTTCAGCAACCCATGCTTGTCATAAGAGGCAACTAACGGGTGGTCAGGCTCGCTGACTTGGTTGACACATGTATCCCAATTGCGTAGATCGATGCTCATGGCTTTATTCACTGAATTACCTGGTCCAGAATTATTTACAGACCGCCGTCATATAGCTAGAACATTGGAATGCGGTCAAAAAAGAAAGCACGCAAACATACAAACAAAACCACCAGTACGAAGTTGTCCGACTCCGCTTTGTCCTCGGTGCCTTAGGTTTGGTACCATCTCAATCTGTTCACCAATATGAGTACCCTGTTTGTTCCAGGAACACGGCCTTTCTATCACATTCTCCGAACAGCTTTTGGTGGGTGTGATTAGGCAGTGATACAAGGGAGAAGTCGCAATCACCACCTTGGAAGCGTGCAGAATAGCCAATGACCCTGACCTGATGACGAGCCTCACCAGCCTGACAGTACCCTCTTTGCTGAATCATTTATTTTATTTTTAATAATAAAAATAAGACTAACCCCCTAAAGTCCAAAAGATGGAAACCCGTCCATCTCTTACTCCTCTTCTCCGGTACAGGAATGAATTCAGTTTCATATTATCGTCTAACATCACATTGTATTTGTCGAATCCTTCTCGACGGATGCAGGGATTAACTAATTGCAGCATCATTCATTATTACGTTGTAAGACAGACGAAGATGGGTCAGCTGAGTCACAGAATGGGACCATTTTTGGAAGATGAGACCTACTCCATTTGGAAATTCATCTTCGAGACAAACTCTGAAGCATAAAGGAGAAGGTTGAGTAAAACTCTGAAGCATAAAGGAGAAGGTTGAGTAAAACTCTGAAGCATAAAGGAGAAGGTTGAGTATAAACCTCGTTGAACCACTGTCTAATGATCGACACATGGTCAAAGCCATACGACCCGTTCCGTGCATGTCACGTTGTATTCCTTAGGAATGGTGTATCACTGTTTAATGGCAAGCTCCAAACACCATAGATAAACAAACGCTCTTTACAAGGAGGGATAACTTCAACTTTCCAATAATCAACTTTCCCTATTTCTTGCAATATTCCTGCAACTCCAGACTTGCATTTTACTTTTGAGGATAAAATCGAGAACATTCTCTACACAACACCAAAAGGCGTCATTCAACTCTTGTTAAGAAGTTGTTTGATTAAAGTTAAATCGTTTAAAGATGCAGTCAATCTATTTAAACATTTTGTGTAGACATTAGGAGGACATTTCTAAATTTGAAGCATCAGTGATAAAAACCATGCCCGATGCTGTTCCATGTTTTGAATAATACCATATGTTCTTTTTCAACTGAACAGTTCGCTTGCCTTTGCATGTGTTTATGACAGGTGCCACTACTGTGAATACACCCACCCTTTCAGGAACACCTGGTGTCATCAGTCTTTGTATATGTGTTTAAAACATCCTCTTGGTATAGTCACTGGAGTGCAATCGACGCTGCGTTTGATAGAGATTTGTTGGGACTATAGAAGGGTATGGTTGCCTTTATCAGTATGATATTCTCGGAATCGAACAATTGACTTTGCTTTCAAAAACACGAACTGAAAGTGACGACTAAATTAAGTTCGTTATAACCGTAGTTACAGGCATAAAGGCTGACATATACAAGTGGGAAAGACACAGTTCGTTACATATAGGCTTGTTCGTTATAAACGTAGATTACTGCACGTTCTCTCGTTCATGATTATGGATAAGTCTTGCCGCTTATTACATGATCGGGACCCGTGCAGATTCGGGTTAGAATTGATCTTCAGTAAACCATGCTTGTCGTAAGAGGCGACTAACGGGATCGGGTGGTCAGGTTCGCTGACTTGGTTGACATACGTCATCGCATCCAAACTGTGTAGCCCGTAGCCTGTTGATCACTGGATTGTCATGTCCAGACTCGATTATTTACAGACCACCGCCATATAGCTGGAATATTGCTGAGCGTAAAACTAAACTCATTCACCCATTATTAACTGATCGGACAAGCAAATGATGTCTGGTTCACAAGAGGAATCATATTTCATTATAGATCATTCCATCCTCGTTCCTTTCTCACTTGTTTATAGAACCATCCCTGCTGGTAAAGACATTTTGATTAATCTGGAAAATGCTGTAGTTGCACATTTGAGCAAATTTACTTATCGAATAATCTTTTGCGAGCATGGTAGCAACGAGATGAAAGCAATGAAATCCAATTTAATGCAAGCAAAGGATTGGACAGAATCTAAATTTTGAGTTCAGAAGACTGTGCAAGTGCTCTGTGCTTGATTGATCAGAGCATCCGCCTTCGCTGCGTTGTAATATATCAACACCAAGTCTTAATTCACAACTACTCATATAAATTACCACTTTAGCTTCCATAGGATCCATACTGTTTAGTGCTTATTGTATTGATTTCTCGAACAGTACATATAAAATTCAAACAAATGGCAATCTATCGTCCTTCAACGAAACCATGTGCAAATCAAGTTCCACTTGAATAATGATATGTTCGTTCAGACACTGTCATAAGAAGTATTTGAATACGCAAAAGGTATGCCAGATATGTTGTGTTGATAGGTGCGCTTGTTGTTGTTTAACATCACACCTCAATATTCCCTCTTTTATATGATCCACAAATGGGATACGGCGAGAAGCAGCACGTCGGTAAGTGTGATCATCCAATCCCTTTAGTAACTCCCAACGACAAGCGTGGGTTGTTAATATCAGTTCTGATCTTCACGGATAATGTTCAGTTATGACTGCATCAATATGTAATATTTATTCTTGTATTATTTCAGCTAATGGCAATTCAAGCAGGGTACATCACTAACGTCTGTTCTTATTAATCAACATCATTGAGGTTGCTGGTGAGGTGAGGTGAGGTGAAATTGGGTTTTACGTCGTGCTTGAGAATATTTCGCTCATATGACGACGTGCATGCATGTGTATGTGTATGAGCGGCTGCCTGTACTAGCCCAGACTTAAGCTGGTTTTATAGTGCTACCCAACTGAGATACCACGCCGCAGTGAAGCATGAATACCCCACTCAGACACATTATACTGACTCCGAGCCGACCAGTCTTTGTTGTACCCATTAATGCCGAACGCCAGGCAGGGACCAACAAGTACCATATTTTAACGTCTTTTGGTATGACGCGGTCGGGGATCCAACCCGCGACCTTCCGCTCTCCGGGCGGACGCTCTAACCACTACACCACGGAGGCGGTCCTGAGGTTGCTGGACGTGTTACAGAACCACCGCCCCTCTCCTGCGCCTGATATGGCTATTTTAGACCTAACTGATACTCAAATACGTACTGCAGATCTTAAATTCTATATGGAAACTATCGAACCTTCTTTGTTGCAAGGGGCGGTGGGGTTGTTTAGTTCGTTCGTCACGATGAAGATCCGGGTTCGATCCCTCATATGGGCACGATGTGTGAAGCCCATTTCTGGTGTACCCTGAGTATTGCTGGAATATTGCTAAAAGGCGGAGTAAAACCATACCCACTCACGTCTCATTAAGTGTGCAATATAAGCATCAGTATTATAGTGCCATACCTCTATACGTATCTTATTCATCTTATCTATGCAATCATAGTCATTTTTCTATCTATAATCTTTAAACGAAAATCAGCAGCTCATTAAATATAATTGTCATTACAACTAACAGGAATCGAAGCGTGGCACCTCGCTGAAGTCGTGACAGATCACATTATAAAAGAGGAACGTGACGATTCCTTGTCTATATGCATGTAAGGCAATGTTCTCCAAACAGCTAGTCATCAATATCCCCGGGTTCGCCACATAACGTGTTTGTATTGAAATATTACACCGGTACGACAGGCAAGGTATCGATTCATCGATGTGTAAGAAGTTGTAATTGGCTGTATAGCCACCAGATGTTGCTCATTGACAAGCTTAGCCGAGTAGTGGCAAAGCCGATGTCGACGACTACCTATATACCGGGAACGTGGCGGACTGTCTGTGCGTAGACCATCCATGTGGCCCCCGGAAGGCAAGCATAAAGTATGTATGGTAAACCTGTCAGAGAGAAGCGTGTGATGCAACTCAAACACTCATGCTGTGATTACGTAATAATCAATTCAAATGATGGACGGAGCTTGAGTTTGGGAATTCAATCTAAGTCAAAGTGACTCCTACTGTTAGGCAGAAACATGGGTTAGATACAATTCAAAATACTGTGTTTTCGACTTAACCAATTTAATAGATGAATTCAGATTTAAAAACTGATTTTGTAAACTGACATTGGCAATGTAAACATACATGGTTGATTCAAATAATGGATAGAGGTTTTAAGATGTATTTCGTGAAATGGATGGTTGTTGATGCCAATATTTTGGGGAATTTATTTCTGTCTGATATATTAAGTGGATATATGTAACACAGAAAACTGTTTAAACCTGACCAATTGAAACTGTGGGATGTTTATACCAGATCTTGAAAATGAACTTTCGTTAATGCATCCTTCTGATGACTATATTTACTATGAAAGCTATGACAATACACAGTACAAACATCAAACAAAATGGCATGCTGAATGTTATTTCTAGTTTAAAGCAAGCCGTTTACTGTGTATACATAATACCTTTTATTTCTGATGGCGATTATCGATGATGTTGCAGCAGCTGGTTTGGCGACTTCTCGTTTTGGGTTGTGTCGTGGGAACAATTGTGCTGGTGATCAACAGCTTCCGTTACACCGTATATATGAGGAGGCCCAAATACAATTATAAACTTCCCACTCGCGGTGGACACGCAGACAAGGTACACAGAGACGTAAGGGATCCTCGATCTTTTACTGGAACATTCAATCAAATTCAGCCTGTGGACCCCAAAAAGAAGTACATTGTATGTGTGTGTATTGGGTCATATATTGGAGGACTGTCAGATCGGTTGAAAGGATTTGTAACAGGGTATCTTCTGTCACAGATGTTGGGGCGAGAGTTTGGTATAGTGATGGAAGCCCCATGTAACCTTGCAGAATTCTGGCAGCCCAATATGGTCAACTGGAGACTGGACGCTGGTCAAATCAGGGCACGACCTCAGCAGAGGATGAGGGTCATTGACAACAAACAGTTTGCCCTCGACTTGCAAAACAATGATCTGAATGATATATTCAAAGCGAATGTCGTAAACATCACTATCAACGTTAACTGTGTGGGATATTTGATGAGGAACCCGTTGTTCAAAGCATTAGAATGGGCTAGAAACAAAACTGAATACGACATCTATAAACATATTATTGGGTTATTGTTCCGACTATCACCTTCTACTGCTGACAGACTTAATGCACTACAGCACAGGATAGGAGACAAGGTATTAATCTGCGCGCATCTTCGTATGGGCAAAAGCCAGACTATGCCAAATGATGAATATAGGAAAACCAGGAAACCAAAACAAAGAAAAGTGCTTGCATTTTTACAAAGTTGGAATCAATCGGACATTTACAAAATCTTCATAGCCACTGATTCGGAGAACGTTAGGAAAAGATTTCAGAAGGCTTTTCCGGAAACATATGTTGAAAATGAAGGGCCTATTGTTCACATCGACAGGTCTAAGAACTATACGTGTGAGGGGTTAGAGAAAGTCATTCTAGACCTACACGTGCTTTCCATGTGCCGCGTGTTGGTCATGTCTATCAGTGGTCTAAGTCGTACAGCCGCCATCCTCAGGGGTAGTGACGAACACGTGTATATAGCCTCACCCATAAATATCAGCATCACCGGAAGGCTTCCTCTATGAGTGAGTTTTGTTTTACGCCGCACTCAGCTATATTCCAGCTAATTGGTCTGTAAATAATTGAGTCTGGACCATACAATCCAGTGATCAACAGCATGAGCATCGATTTACGTAATTGGGATACGACGACATGTGTCAACCAAGTGTTTGAGCCTGACCACCCGATCCCGTTAGTCGCCTCCTATGATAAGCATGGGTTACTGAAGACCAATTCTAACCCGGATCTTCACGGGTCTCTGATAGAAATGAAATCATGAATAGCATTGGATCCTTTTGAACCATGTATTTTGATGTTCAGAATGAGCGAAGGGTTCGAATGGCCCTTTTCTGGTGATCAGTGAGAAGGCATGCCACCTAACATATAGGAACCGTTTTCATTCCTGTTTTAGTTTTCAGAATGTCTTCAACTCTTTTATGTGAACTGCTTCTGTATAAGCTAGTTTGATGAGCCTTCACATGTCATGTGTCATTCTATATAACATATTCATTAGTGGTGGCATTTAAAGCCTTTGATTTTGGATCACCTCTCTGCTTTTGCCTTCTCTCTGGCACTTCTAAATCATGTACCCGTGAAGATCCGGATTAGAACTGATCTTCAGTAACCCATACTTGTCGTAAGAGGCGACTAACGGGATCGGGTGGTTAGGCTCGTTTACTTGGTTGACACCACAGGCCCTCGTGTCTTTGCGAAGAAAACTATGTTTTTGAGATGACCCCCCACTCGAAATGCTTCACAGTACAATACATTATGATCATAATGTATTGTGCTGTGAGGCATTTCGAGTCGGGGGGTCATCTCACTTTTTTATATTTGTTCAAAATCTTTACTCGCAAAGACACGAGGGCCTGTGGTTGACACATGTCATCGTATCCCAATTGCGTAGATCGATGATCATTCACTGATAACTGGATTGTCTGGACCGCCGCCATATAGCTGGAATATTGTTGAAACTAAACTCACTCATTTCAAGTCATGGTTCAAGTTGTTAAGGAGGTTTGAATGTAGAAATGCCAAGCATTGCTTTGAAATCTAGTGAAAGGTTTTGATGAAATACATATGATACAACATATGAGGGACATTTTATTTTCATGTATGGCATGCTCATGATATTAATATGATGATGATATTTCTGGATTTCTGTTTAAACAGCGGTTGAAAAATGTCAGCATGCACACTTGGTGTTCAAGATTGAATGAGTGTTGAAATCTACACCTTCATCCATGCAGACTAATTGTCATAGCGTACAGTTCAAACTAAGGGGATCGGGTGGTCAGGTTTTCTGACTTGGTTTACACACGTCATCGTATCCCAATTGCAGGGATCAATGGTCATGATGTTGATCACTGGATTGTCTGGTCCAGACTCCAATTTACAAACAACATCGTACTGCTGTAATACTGCTGAAACAAATACAAATACATGATATAGTCAGAATTGTACTCTGCCTTTAGGATATATTTCCCATGGATGTGGAAAGTGTTGTGTTGCTCAAATTTCACTGTATTCGGTTGTGTATCAATCGATGTTAAAGTCAGAGATATATACTTACCGGGAAAAATCCTTTAATATGGATCATAGTTGCGCTTTTTGGTATGTACTTAAAATACTGGACAAAACCAGTTAGGGATATATGTAAATTTTGAAATTATGAATAATGATCTATTTATTCATTGACACACTGTTATATCAATCATAAAATTACCAATATCCCAAACTTATTTTGTCCAGTATACATTATTCAGTCTATAGGCTGGAAGCATCATAGACACAATTCTACGAGTAAACCTCTAAGGCAAAGAATGGTGTTTAAGAGTAAGTGTGTCACGAAGTGATATATAGTTATATTCTAGCTCCAATGGAGCGACGTCAGAGCGACTAACGGGATCGGGAGGTCAGGCTCGATGACTTGGTTGCATGTCATTGTATCCTAATGGCGCAGATCGATGCTCGTGCTGTTGATCACTGGATTGTCTGGTTCAGACTCGATTATTTACAAACCGCCGCCATACATTGCTGGGTGCGGCGTTAAATAGCCAACCAACCAACCAATATGGAGCGACAGGACCGCGAGACTGACCTGAAACATTCTTGGAATATGGATCATACGTGAAGCGTTCAGGGAATATTCACAGAACCTGAAAGGGAGAATAAGTATTAGAGCTGAAACACTCAGAGAATATGGTATGGGAATGTGTACATGGATGAAACAAATGAAATGTGGGGAATATGTAGAATACTTGAACAGAGTAAGGAATATTATTGGATTTGTACTGCCAATGAATTCGTACTGTAAGTACTGTCATTGAAATTGCAGTGATTTGTGTCGATTTGTAAACGCTTTTACTTTTAGAATAAAGTTAATATATCAATAATATTACGTTTCTTTGTTGTTGGTTTCACTATTTTTACGGACTGATTTCCGGTAAACGTGATGTTCTAACTTGGCAATCAGCTTGTAACAGCCAGCGTAAGATATATATCATAGACGTGTGATTATGAATCACTATTATACAGTGATAGGTGACATTCGTCATAAATAGTGCTAAAGCGTTCGCTCGTCAAACCGAAAACCTGGGTTTGATTCCTCACATGGGTACAATGTGTGAAGTCCATTTCTGGTGTCCCCCGCCGTGATATTGCTGGAATATTGCTATAGTTAAAACCAACTTGCTCACTCACTCGTCATAAAAGTCAAGTCAAATGTTAAAAAAAACAACCCCAAAAAACAAAGCAAAACAACAACCCGGGAACGTGTGTTACAAGTCACATATATTTTCATCAGATATCATTTGTGTCAATAATGTGTCAAATTTGGAAATTAAGCACAAATGACATTATGGTCCTTAAATGCTGTAAATGTTATCATACAATTCACGAGCGAGGATTGTGTGACGTTTTAAAATCAAGGTTCAATATCTGCTCGACTGTACGTCAGGGGATCTGGGAGGTAAACGCCATAACCTGAAGCTCCTGAAACTCGACATACCGGGAAAGATGACTATTGGAAAGTTGAAGTTGTCATACAGCACTGACCCGGGTAGATCTAGGTTATAATTGGTCTTCAGTAACCCATGGCGACAATAATATCTACGTATCCCAACTGCGTAGATCGATGGTCATGTTGATCACTGGATTGTCTGGTCCAGACTTAATTATTTACAGACCGTCGCCATATAGCTGGAAAATTGTTGAGTGTGGCGTAAAACTAAACTTACTCACTCACTCATACAGTGTTGTGGCCTCTTCTTGTCTCTGGGTAGGGAACTTGTATTCCTGACTTACTCACGCTTGCCTTTTTAAAAAGATTAAATAATATAGAGATACGGGCAACATCATATTAATTCTCGGGTTCCTGTAGACTACATTCTTTATTGAAACAGTCTCAGCAAAAAGAGAAAAACAGATTTTCAATGGCTATTTTAAAATTTATTTGGTCCTTACAATGCTCATAACACACTCCTACAGAAGGAATGCTAAACCGAAACCGCTTCCTTGGCTGTATCTTGGTTGATCTTTTTGGTGGTATGTTTGCGGGACTCAGTAAAATTTCTCCCTTTTCGTGGATTTGAAATCTGTAATCAAGTACTGAAGATGAATGGACATATCTTCATGTGTAGGAAGCAAAAGTTTGTTGGAACCCATGCGTGATATTGGCAGATTTCTTCCTCTGATAACAAACTGGCGCCATATTGGTATCATTTGATATGTCACTTAAACTAACAATTTGATCAAAGAACTGATGTTGTGGCGCTAATCATGAAGGTAATAATATGAGGCTGGGATTGGTAGTGTGAAGTGGTATATAATGTTGTCTGATGTCTTCTGGCTTTGCCAACAGCACGGTTGGTCCTGCAGTTGCTGTGGAGCATGCAGAGGTGATGGAGAGATTCACCGGCGCTTCAAGTGTAACAGTGCAGAGTCACTGACGTGGACATAAAATCTCCATTTTGATGCCGTAAGTTGGGTTCTTTACAACGCGGAATTTGATCATAGGCACTGTCTTAATTGTTTCTAAATAGTAAAGACTTCATGAACCTCAAACTTGAAAGCAGGTTTTGTGGAAAACAAATTCATGTCATGGAGTAATTTTTTCCCTTGCTTTAGAAGCGTTTGAAGAAATATTCGCCAAAAAACAACAACATGCAAAGCAAAATGCAAATGCAAGTAAGCAGAAAAGCATACGGTATAGATCACTGTAAAAATGCAAACGTTGTGTTTAATTATGTCGTTCGTTTTTGTCTGGAAAAGAGGAAATCATCATGCCACGACTGAGGGCCGCAAATCAAAACATGGCCATAGGCCGCCCAGAAGCTGAGGAATCGCAGTCAGCAGTTTCAACGTTCATCAGAGCACCATATCTCGCCTTTGGGGTCGTTTCCTGCAGACGAATTCCGCCCAAGATCGCCCGAGAAGCGGCCGTCCAAGAGTTACCACCCAAAGCCAGGACTTCTACATCAGGGTTGCTCACTTGCCTTCATCGTCTTGCCACAGCCGTTTTGAGTGACTTCCATCGGCACAATCGCTTGCGGTGGTGTCGTCAAGAACTGGAACCTTAGAAACTGGAAGGAGTCTGGTTCAGTAAAGAATCACGATTTCTTCTTCACCGGCGAGATGGAAGACAGCGTGTTTACCTTCGGAGAAATGAACGTTTTGCCCCTAATGGCATTCAACAGGTGGACAGATTAGGTGGAGAGTGTGTCATGGTGTAGGGTGAGATATCCAACACACAAAGATCTGATTTAGTGGTGGTTCAGGGAAATTTGACAGCAAATCGGTACATCAACGAAGTCCTTGCACGTCACATGCTTCCAATTAAGGACCTACAGAGGGAGTTGTTCCAGCATGACTACGCTACTTCACATACAACACTCATCACGGTCCGTTAGCTTGCCAGTTCTAACGTCAATGTCTTGCCATGGCCTTCCCGATAACCAGATCTAAACCCGATAGAACACCTATGGGGTGAACTCGATCGACGTGTACGTCAACGTTAAAACATGCTTCAGACACTTCCACAACTGGCCATCGCAGGAAGAGTGGTGAAGACTCCCGCAAGAGCGACT